AATAATCACGTGGCCTCGGCTCAGTATAGGATGTGCATATTATGAGGTCCTCACTATGCCCCTGCTTCGAATGACGGAACTAGTAGCTTGATCGACGCAAGCATAGTACGAGTAGCTTCAACACGTGGGATTTTTGTACATCAACCAGTCAGAACCAAACAGTACACGCCTCCGATGGCGACCCTGCGACGTTGGCGGCAAACGCAAGCAAGTAGAGAAACATACAAACGCGTACTAGCATTGTCTAAGTTAGTAGAAGTAGTAGTAGTATTTTACTGCATCATAGCAGCAGCGACGGCTGTCATGGCAACAACCGAGAGCGTCGTGGCGGCAGCGGCCGACGGCGCCGTCGGGGCAGGCGTCGTCTTGTTGCCGGCAGCACCGGGCACCGTCGTGATCGCGGGCGCGCCCGTGGACTTGGAGCCCGACGAGTGGCTGTCGCCCGACTTCATAAGGTCGTGGCACTTGTCGTGGGCGGCGTCGAGGGCGGCGTTGGCGTTGCCAGACGTGGCGCCGACCGTCGCGACGCAGTTGGGGAGCGAGTCGATACCAGCGTGGATGTACGTCATGCAAGCCTTGTTGCCGCAGACCTTGAGAAGGTCGGCGTCCGTGATGTTGGCGATAAGCTGGAGCGGCGACTTGATCGTCGCAAGCGCGGCCGTGCAGCCGGGCTCAATCGGCGCCGTGAACCACTTGGTGACGTTGGCGGTCTGGGCTTCCGTGCACGCGGCGGCGGGGGCATCCGTGTGGTTGCCACCGTGGGCGGCGGCGACGGCGGCAAAGGCGAGGAGGGCAGTGGTGCGCATGGTACTGAGCTCGAAGTGGCAAATTGAAAAGTGAGTGAGACCGCTGCGCGCTGCTCCGCGAAGGCGCAACACCATGTGGCGCGATTGTTGATAGCGCAGACAGACGGGGTGCGACAAGACTGTGTTCGAAGCAATCCTTGTGGGATAGGATTCGTGCACACTTGGCGTTTGTATTCGTGGCTTGTGTCGGGCTCGGAATAAACCAAGCGGCTTGGATGTAGGGTTCATGTGACCTTGCTTCGATTTGACAAGCAACCGCTGCCGCGCGGGTGTACGTACGCCGTGAATGACGTACGACTTGTGATGTTTGTACGGTACGTTGATTGGCATTAGAATTGTGCACGTTTTGTGCTCGTCTTTCAGAATGTACGGGCAAATGTACGACTCAGTACTGTACGTACGATACGGCAGGGGGCCATGTCTAGGGCGATGTCGAGACAACCGCAAGACGATAATGGTTTCGTGTGGTTTCGTCGAGAAGGTCAGTCAGAACGCGGTGGATGCACATCTACAGTGCTGTAGTGAAACGGTCGACAGACGTGATCCGGCACTGCCGCTTCTCGAGTGAAATCTGGTTTTCTGTCATGCAAGACTGGTCGCCGAAGCGCTGAACCGCACTACCGCTGCTCCGCTGCTGCGATGTGCACACCCGATCCATCGACGTACGTGTGTACTGGCTGCGTACTAGCACCACGGATGCCTGTCTACTACCGGTAATATGGAGAAATACTGTGGCGTCCTTCCATGTGCAATGTGGCTCGTTTACATTAGTAGCTCGCCAACTGAACGAAACGTGTTCCGACAAGAAGGCGTCATTATCTGAACGTTGGACGTCTTACACGCAAGCGGCGACGGCCGTCACGACCACAGCAGCCATCGAAAGCTGGACCAAAGCGCCGGCCGACTTCGCAGTCGGCGTCGGCGTAGCCGTGCCGGTCGTGTTGTTGCCAGTCTTGGGCTGCGGCGACGAGGTCTGGTTGCTAGACTTGGGTTGCGGCGTCGACGTCTGGTTGCCCGTCTTGGGCGTGAGTTCGTCGCACTTGTCATGCACGACGTCGAGGGCGGCGTTGGCGTTGCCCGTCGTGCCCGAGACGCAGTTGGGGAGCGCCTTCAAGCCAACGTGGACGTACGTCATGCAGGTTTTGCTCGCGCAAAGGGGCTTGAGCTCGGCATCCGTGTAGTTTACAAGCAGTTGCGCAGCCGACTTAATCGCCGGCAGCGCGGTCGAGCACCCAACGTCCACGGGCGCGGCAAGCCACGTCGTGACGTTGAGCGTTTGGGCTTCCGTGCACGGCGCCTTCGACGGACCATCGCCACCGTCGGCCATCGTAGAGACGAGCATAGCAAGACCGAAAAAGAGGAACGACTGCATGTTGAGTGAGGCTTGGAGTAAATTGAAAAATGAGGTACGACGGTGGGCAGGCTGTCGATGCCGGCATCAGGAACGGCGCAGACCAGCAAAGATCAACGCCGGTATGATATCATTTCCCCTTCCCAACGAGCAGGTCGACGTTGGCATTGCTGATGTCCATCACCGACGCCGGTACGCTGCTGGCACGCTTCCGGCACGCTGCGCGGGTACATAGCTCATGGTTCATTGTGGTTTCGTCGATATGGTCAGTGCACGGTGGATGTGGTGCTAGTGAAACAGTCGGCAGAAAGTGATCTGACCGATCTTACGCTCTTGCGTCTGGTGCAGCCTTTGGCTTGAGCACAACAACGAAGTGTTCCGCACGACGTTGACGAACCTCCCTGCTGCCACGATCAAGGCAACTACATACCATTACGCGATTGCAAGTCCGGCACTTGGCTCGTCGCGCCGCGGTGCCATCGCTTGCAGAGTCGCTTAACGCTTTCCGCGCCGACCCTTGGTGTGCTCGCAACTTCGCTCCTCGCACAATCCCGAGCCACGACCGTGCGCCCTCCGCTTGACGCACCGGCCTTGCCTCACGAGCACATTGTAGCAAGTCCACCAATTAGATCTGAATAATGGCATGTTCATAACTCGTTTCAACAACAACAGAAGTGATCTGACATTGCCACTTCTCAAGTGGAATCTGGTTTCTGTCAAGCAAGACTGATATCATTGCACCATAATCAGCGCACGCACCACTTGCCTTGAAGCAGCCCCCGTAGCGACCGCACCAAATAAGCAACGGCAGCATGTGGCAAGTGCATACATGTACGGACAAGCGTCGCGGCCTTGATGGCCAGTGACTCGGACGTTGTCGGGCTGCGCGACGTGCGAAACACTCGATCCTTGTGTTCGAGCGAAGGCGTGTACCAGACGCATACGCTTAAGATAGGCCAGGATACGGCGATGGTCGATTGGTGTTGGGATATTGAGGCTAATCGCAAAGAAAGCCAACGAGCAACGCATCTGAAGGTGGCGGCGTAGTGGCGCAAGTGCGGTCCACACGGTCTCGATGTAGCTGCACTCGACGAGCAAGTGCTTGTACGACTCGACAAACTCGGTGCAAAAGAGGCAAGCGCGATCGGATGGAGCCAAGAAGTGGAGACGGCTGCGCATCGTCACCGTCCATAGAGTCACTCCGTAGACAAAGTCGTCTACTAGTATTGGGAAGCACGTTCTCGGGCAGTCGGAGAGAGCCCCGCGGGAACTTTGTCGACGTCGTAATCTTCGGGCACCTCAAGACGACGGCACGGCAGGCGTTGCCAGACCAGCGGTGACCGGAGTCACTGCCGTGAGACTGTTACAGTGGTCACACCATCTAAGGGGAAGCAATTTGGCGCCCTTTTATGGGCAATGTTGCCCGTTTATCTGTTTCGAACAGCACTTCCTAAATTTACGTGCCATCTTCATATGTGCATGCTTGCGGTTCGCGTACTCCTTCTTGATTTCCGCATAATGCTTACAAGTGGTCAAACTTTGTACACGATATTGCTTCGTTCTTACGAGCCCACTCCGCAAGGGACGGTTGCGGGAGGGTCATTTACAATAGAAACTCGCAAACTGAACGAAACGCGTTCCGACAAGTATGTGTCATAAACCTTTACGTTGAACGTCTTACACGCAAGCGGCGAGGGCCGTCACGACCACAACAGCCATCGAGACTTGGACCAAAGCGCCCGCCGACTTCGCAGTCGGCACCGGCGTAGGCGTCGGCGTACCAATCGTGCTGTTGGTCGTCTTCGGCTGCGGCGACGAGGTCTGGTTGCCAGTCTTGGGCTCGAGCTCGTGGCACTTGTCATGCACGACGTCGAGGGCGGCGTTGGCGTTGCCCGTCGCGCCTGAAACGCAGTTGGGGAGCGCGTGCAAGCCAGCGTGGATGTACTTCATGCAGGTCTTGCTCGCGCAAAGCGGCGTGAGCTCGGCGTCCGTGTAGTTTACAAGCAGCTTCGCAGCCGACGTGATCACCGAAAGCGCGGTCGAGCACCCAGCGTCCACGGGCGCGGCAAGCCACGTCGTGACGTTGAGCGTTTGGGCTTCCGTACACGGCGCCTTCGACGGACCATCGCCACCGTGGGCCGCGGCAGAGGCGAGCATGGCAAGACCGAAAAAGAGGAACGACTGCATGCTGAGCGAGGAGTAAATTGAAAAGTAAGGTACAAGACTGGTCGCTGCCACTCGCTTGGACTAGGTACCTTCGTACACAGTGACGACGCGCAAGTGCCGTCGTCGGAGAGCTCCGTCGGAGAAGCAACTCGTGGACGGAAAGTGCACCATTCGTCACCAGCAAAGTCGTTGAAGTTGGCCAACTAACCTATGCAGTTTGAATGGATTTGTACAAGAAGGTTTCGAGTTTAGGAGCTTGAGAGTACTAATATTTCATGGCAGAATAGTTGCTGCAGTGCCGTTTGAGAATGGCTCGACCAAACTAACTGCAGCAACAGCGTGTCTGGACGGCGGCGGGCAGACCGTCGATGCCGGCGTCAGGAACGACGCATGCCATCAAAGATCAACATTGATATGATATCACTTCTTCACATTGCGCTAGTCGACGCCGGCATTGCTGATGTCCATCATCCACTAGTTGACGCAGGCACGCTGCTGGCACGTCTCGCTCCGACGGGGCTTTTCCGAAGGCGCGTGTATGGGTGCACTCATCCATATCCAGTATTGCCCGTCTGCTTGTGGCTTTGTCTTAAGCAAGCAGCGTCGTCCGACACACGTTTTTAAACAATGCAACTCGGCAACGCAGTGACAGACGTGGATCCCATATTTCGTCTTTTTACGGTATCTTAACCGTGTTTTTGCTTTCATAGATGCAAATATACCGTATATTTACGCTACGACTGGCGTTGTGACGGTGGTTTCGGTTACACTTTTGGGTTCGATGAACATCGGTCACGTGCTCGTGGCCGTCGCGTTAAGACTGGCGCAAAGTGCTGCCGAGTGCCAGAACGCGTGCTCTGGCCATGGTTTCTGCAACATGTTCGATGTGTGCGCGTGCCAACAAGGCTTTAAGGGCGGTGACTGCTCGCAGAGTACCACCACTCACCGCCCCTTCGTCTCCCCAAGTTGATATACTTGTATAGTGTTGTGCCCCCAAGGCAAAGCTTGGGGTGTCGTCACGGGCACTGACGTAGCGCACGGCGTATGGCGCTACCATTTCTCTGCTGGCAACGACGCGTCGTTCTGACTAGGTCGCCGAGTGCTCGGGGCGAGGGATCTGCGACCGCTCGACGGGCACTTGCTCGTGCCAGCTTGGTTTTGAAGGCAACGCGTGTCAATTGTGTAGGCTTATTGTATACAACGGCGTCGATGAGTGCTGATGGGTGCGTAGTGGCGTGCGTCGACGACTGCAGCAACCGGGGCCAGTGCCTCACGATGCAGCAGCTCGCTGCAACACCGCTCGTGGCACTCGACTTGTACAATCAAGCACCGTACCAATACTCACCGTACGTGATGTGGGACGCCGACATCGTCCGCGGCTGCCTCTGCGATGTTGGCAGCACCGGCGCCGACTGTAGCCTGAGTACGCTTCGACGCTTTGATGGCACACACAACACGTTGCACTGTGTAGAACAATGTCATTTGGGTGACGACCCCATGACGCCTGGCCAGACCGAGGACGTACAGCTCATTACCTGTGCAGCATCGTACCTGCAGCATCAAGTGACGCTCCGCTACGACGCGGTCATCTCTCGTGGTACTGAAGTTCAATCTCAAAACTCGAACGATATCTCTATTTGATGCATGGTAGGCACATTTGTCCTCAACTTTGGTCGTGAGCGCACAGACCCTGTCAACTACAATGCCGCTGCGACGAATGCACTGGGCACTTCGATGACCGAGATGCTCGAGGCGCTCACAACGATCGCAGCGGTACGCTTGGTCATCATATTTTGAGCTTCATTGGATACAACGCAGGTGACTGTCACGGTGTCTTCGACGCCAACCTCCACGGCATGGAACGTTGTGTTTCCACTGGGCTCTGCCGACCAACACATCTTTCGTCCGACGTGGCGGTACCTACTTGTCCTTTCGAACCTCAAACTCAAAAACGGTAGCGTTGTGGAAGTGCAACAGTTCTTTTGCGCCGCCGACAGCGGCTACGCGACACTCACGTATGACACGCATGTATTCCCGAGCATTCCGTTCTCGGCGTCTGCTGCGGACTTGGAAACGCTCCTCGAGTCGCATGTAAAAGTCGGCGCCGTCACTGTGACCTTCAGCCAGGGTGCGCAACTCTGCAGTCCCCTTGGCAACTACGTACAAACACCTCCAGTTGTCGGATTTGGTGACCCGTAAATCTCGCGTAGATTTCGATCGCGTTTGATCTCATGCGGGACCGCAACTACATTGGAGACCTCCCCGCGCTTACGATTGACCGCACCAACCAAAACCAGCGTACGGTTGTGAGTCTCCTTTGATTTTTGCTTGATTCTCGAAACATGTACTAGTCGACGGGCTCAAGTGGGCGGGCAATGCACCCGTCGTTGACGCTCAAACCAACGAGCTCGTCAAGGGTATCGACACGTGCCACGTTGTGGAAGTTCAGAGCCTTACTTGCTGCGCCGTCTCGGGCTTCTTTGCCGTCTCGTTTGAAGGTGTGCACTTTTACCTCTTTTGATTTCAACGCGCATGTGGTGCATTAGGAGGCACGGTGAGCAACCTACCGTTCGATATGTCGGTGTCCGATTTAAGAGCGGCCTTGCTCTCGGCCTTTCCTCAGCTCCTCGATATCGACGTATGTTGTCGCGCCGGCACGCTAACATAAAGACATAAATTCGTAGGTCGACTACTCGACGGGGTCCAGCGCGTGCTCCCAAGCAGCGCCGGCCAACGTCATTTCCATCCGCTTTGCCGTCGTCACCACGAACGGGTATGACGTGCATGCGAGCACGGTAATAGCTGATTGCAATGATGAAATAGACCACTTGGAAACGGCGCACTCAGCCTCATGACGGCCGACGTAACAAACGCGGGTGTTTCCGGTGCGTGCTGGAGCGCCATCCGAAATGTGACATCGCGTGTTATACTCTAGGGCTGGCACACTCGTCGCTGCATTTGTTGCAGCTGTCGGCCACCGCGACACAAGTCGTGCGCGGGGCCCGTTGCGTGCCGTTGAACGTCGGCTTTGCCGCGCAGCCGACGGCTCAGATCGTCTCCAACGTGCTCCAAGGCGGAGGGAGCTTCACGATATCGTACCGAACCGCCACAACGCTGCCAATTCCAGCGACCGCAAGCGCCGCCGACGTTACCGCTGCGCTTCTGGTACAAGCTGCTACGTAGCTGCAAAGTGTAAAGGTTGCGTGTGTTTAGAAACTGCCGACATGCGACGGTGTCGATGTGACGTTTACGAGTGGCGAGGCTTGCAGCACGCCCGCTAACGTACTGCGCCTCAATTTCACTCAAAATTTTGGCGCGTACGGCACGACCACATGACGATCGCGATGGCTAAGTGCTTGTAGACTGTCGAGTTTAAGTGCAGCACCGACGGCGGGGAGCCCTGTGGTCGTTGCAACCTTCTCCAGAGGAGCAATTGAGCCAGCGAGCGGGCTGGCGTCCTTGATTGGCACTAAGGTACTGTTGACGCTATCGACTTGGCGACGCATCAATATGTAGGAGAGCTACGAGTGCTCGGGGCGGGGCACGTGTGATAACCTAGTCACAGGCACATGCTCGTGCTTCACTGGGTACTTTCCCATGTAAATATTGTCTTATTGTCTTATTTTCGTTGCTTATGTAGGTATGAGGCAAGTGACGGCCGAGGCAACCCGGCGTCGACTACCATGCGACGTGACGATTGTGGCACGGCGTCCGGGATGATCGCCCATTGCCCAGGGGACCTTCCGTGCAGGTAGGTTGTCTTGTTCAACATACCTTTAGAGCGTACCTCAACTCGTAGTGGCCACGGTGTCTGCACGGGCGACCCGTCGTTTCGCTGTCAGTGCGTCAACGGGTGGCGCAATGGAGACTGCTCCGAGCGTGCGGCTAATGACAACACTCGCGTTGATGAGAATACTGTACATAGGTCAATGTCCATTTGGGCGCTCGTGGTTTTCGTATCCCAGCGCGGACAACGTCGCTCACAACGATTTGGTCGAGTGCAGCAATGCGGGTCTTTGTGACCGATCCACGGGTATTTGTACCTGCCGACCTCCGTTTACGGGTCCCGCGTGCGAGCAGAGTACGTCTAGTTTTGGATCCAGCGCCGTCAGCTATATCTACTTGCTGCTCTAGTGGCATGCAACGACATCACGGGCGTCTGCAACAACGGCGGCCAGTGCCTCACGCTAGGCGAAGCTGCTCCGTTGGCCACTGTTAATGGCGTGCGTCGATCAAGCGCCATTTCAAATGAATTGCTTGATATTTCCGAGTAGGTGCGAGCTGGATATACGTACGGCGTGGACCCGAACGACCCGCTGACATGGGACGCGCACAAGATTCAAACGTGTGTCTGTGATCCCTGGCACACGGGTTACGACTGCTCGCTCTGTACCTATTTTAGTTGACATGCACAACAATTCACTATATTTTTGTAGTGGACTGCCCCCACGGCGACGACCCCAACACGTACTTGGACGTGAACGAGGTGCAATACGTGTCGTGCGCTGCGACCGGCGGCTCGTTTGCTCTCACTTTTCGCGATCAAACGAGTCCTCTCATCCCGTGGAATGCCAATGCGCAAACCGGTACGCGCACTCACCTCTATAACTGTATTTCGATGCCTCTTTGCGTCTAGTGGAGGCAGCGCTCAACACTATCACGTCGGGCGTCTCGGTCACATTGTATGGCGGCAGTACAGTCGCGTGCAGTGCCACTGGTGCGCACCGACATCCATTTTGTTTCTGCTCATGGGAGAGCGTCGTAGGTGCAGTGATTGGTATCACGTACCTCCTCGACTACGGCGGCTTGCCGTGCATCCTACCAGACAACAGTCTGCTGACACATGCGGGGAATGGGAACGGCCTGCCGGGCACAGGTACCTTGGGTCAGAAGACAGTCATTTTGATAAGAACATGTAGGAACGCTTGTCGTTGCCTGCGGAGGCGCCGTCATGGGAGGTTTGACGTCCGTTGTCGGCACCAAGGAGAACGTACTCTGCTCCAACCACGGCTTTTGCGACTACACGACCGGCGCGTGCATGTGCGATGCTTTCTTTGCGAGTTCTGACGGTCTCGGCGGCCCCGGCACGCGTGGCGACTGCAGCTATCGCAAGCCCTTTCAATGACCTATAACAAGCCGCAAACACCAATCGTCGTCTCCGTATTTCTACTGCATTGACATGGGAAGGACATCTAGAATTCAACTGCGCTGGCTTGTGCAATCAACTCAAAGGTGCTCTTCTGGACGAGCTTGGCTCGGCGCTGCATGTGGTCGGGCCTACACTGCCCTTCAGATTTTGGTTTTGCACACAAGGAACCCGACCCGAGTGGGGTCAAGCCGAGAGTGGCCGTGTTGTGTCGAAGTAAAGTCGCACGAGTCAAGGGGACTGCACTCACCTCATCGCCCGGTGCAAAACTAAGGCGTCATAATCAGACACGCAGATCTGATCACAATTCGCACATGTCAACACTGGATCGTCGCGACGACAGCGTCGACGAGGATACATCTCTGCTTGAATAAGACATCACGGACAACGCACAAGATATATCGTACGGGACAAGCATGGCGCCGTTCTTTGCGGCTTTGGGAAGGGACCAGCGTTTCCGAGGCCGCTGGCTGGACGCGCCGCAAGCCTGCTACCCCATTACACCTACTCATGACGCAAAGCCATCGTACCCGCTTGCCTTGGCGCGTCGACGCGGGCCTACACACTCGATTTTAAGTGTCTCTCATGTCTAAACTCCAGTACATGGCGTTGATACCCGCGCAGCTGGCGTTGACGGTCGTTCCGCTACACCACCGCGTACAGTTAGTACACCAGTAGAAGTATTGGATATTATACCTGCGCATGAGATGGGCGAGCTTGGGAATCACGAGCCCGTGCAGTGCCGAGGCATTCGGTGGTGCGAGTCTACCATAGCGCCGTTACGCTGGACGAAAGGTGTTGCATCGCACTCTCTCACGTCAACCACGTTGATTGTCTGCGAGTTGGAGCGTGCGAGCGGCGGCAGCTCACTCCGTGCCTCGTTCATGCTCGTGAAAAGCGAACTCCATACTACGTTGTTGCGTGCAAAGCCCCAAGTATAGATTAACCCTACCCTCCGCGTTAGCGACGAAGTGCGCATAACGTCCGCCAATGCCAACATCTTGATTGGCCCGGGGTGCGATTGCGTGATAGCGCTCATCGACCAAACGACGTCAGCGTCCTTGCGCATGGAACCGTCGCGCTACGAGGTGACC